GAAAGGAAAGGAAAGGAAAGGAAAGGAAAGGAGGGAAAAGGAGGGGGAAAGGAGGGGAAAAGGGGGGGAAAAGGAGGGGAAAAGGAAGAAAAAATGAAAGGAGTCCATTTCCCCTCAACCCTCCAGCCCCAAAAATACCCCGGCGGCGAAATCCAATGGGCGACTTACAGATCCAACCCTAAGCATTACCCCAACCCAGAAGGGCAGGAATTTGGGGAAAACCTCCAGCAGAAACAATCCCAAATGAGCGTGGCCATCTTAAGGATCAAACCCGGAGGTCTCCGTGTCCCCCATTGGCATTTCAACGCCAACGAGCACGGCTACGTGCTGCAAGTAAGCGACGCGATTGTGGTTTTTTTTTCCCCTTTCTTTCTTTTTCTCTCTTTCCCCTTCGATCCGAAAGCCGCGCTCTCACCGCGACCTCCCCACGTTCGTCTTCCCCCACTTTAAAAACCGTTTTCCTTGCGGGAAAACAAACGAGAGCGAACGTTATAGGGAACGGCGTGGATCGGCGTGATCGCCAACGACAACGTCACCGTTTTCAACGCTTCCCAAGGTCACGTGGTTTTTTTCCCACGCAATCGCGTTCATTGGATGAAAAATTTGGGCTCGGAGGATTTGATGGTCGTCCTTTTTTTCGGGAGCAACGAAGAGGTGAAAAGTTTGGACGTGGATGAAGCTTTTTTTGGCACGCCGGAAGATATCGCGGCTCGGGCGCTGCAGGTTTGGTGATGGAAGGGGGAAATCGGGGCTGATTTGGGGGGTTTTTCGGTGTTCCGTGGGTTAATTAGGGTGTTTTTAATGAAGGTTGGGTCTTGGAAGGGGAAATTGGAAGTGGTTGCATCTCTCTAGCTTGTTTGGTTGCGGAGTTATTGAGATTTATAGGGAATTTGGGTCCTGGAAGGTGAAATCGGCAGTGGTTGCATCCCTTTATCTTGTTCTGTTGGGGCTCTATGGAGTTCTATATGGAGGTTGGGTCCTGGAAGGTGAAAAGTGAGGTGGTTCCATCCCTCCATGAGGTTCCAATGGGGCTCTATTGAGATTCATACGGAATTTGGGTCCTGGAAGGTGAAAAGTGAGGCGGTTCCATTCCTCTATCTTGTTCTGTTGAGGTTCTACATTGATCTATATGGAGGTTGGGTCCTGGAAGGGGAAATCGGGGCTGATTTGGGGTTTTTTTGGTGTTCCGTGGGTTAATTAGGGTGTTTTTAATGAAGGCTGGGTCTTGGAAGGGGAAATTGGAAGTGGTTGCATCTCTCTAGCTTGTTTGGTTGCGGAGTTATTGAGATTTATAGGGAATTTGGGTCCTGGAAGGTGAAATCGGCAGTGGTTGCATCCATCTATCTTGTTCTGTTGAGGTTTTACATTGATATATATGGAGGTTGGGTCCTGGAAGGGGAAATTGGAAGTGGTTGCATCTCTCTAGCTTGTTTGGTTGCGGAGTTATTGAGATTTATAGGGAATTTGGGTCCTGGAAGGGGAAATCGGCAGTGGTTGCATCCCTTTATCTTGTTTCGTTGGGGCTCTATGGAGTTCTATATGGAGGTTGGGTCCTGGAAGGGGAAATCGGCAGTGGTTGCATCCCCCTATGAGGTTCCATTAAGGCTCTATTGAGATTCATAGGGAATTTGGGTCCTGGAAGGGGAAATCGGCAGTGGTTGCATCCCCCTATGA